CAGCTAAAGACACATCTGTTTCAATCCATTGATAGATTGTCCAGAGTGTTCCCTTCGATATACCCCAAACGCTTCATTTCTGTTGGATGAAAGTCACATGGGATTTCTGAGGTGCTCATGATATACTCTGGCACGGATTTTCGATTGTAGTATTGTGAATCTATGCATTAATTGTCATAAATTATGAGTATAAAAGTATGCTGCGTAGAGGATCCATCACATAAACTCTAAAAAGTAGTGTAATTTAAAATTTCTCATTAATTATATAAGTATCATACTTTTGAAAAAAGATGTTTCTGTCTCAAAACAATATCATAGAGGGAAACTAGTTAACAAAAATATAGAATGAAATCAATGTAAAAAGCGAGACATTCATATTATGCCGACGACATGTGAATAAAATATACAAACTAAGTCTTTATGATATTGTTTTGGTAAAACTTTTTCTTACGATAAAACTTTTGGAAATCACTTGTCTAAAAATGCCTATTTGATTAGCTATTAACTAGCGTTAATAGGCAATTAATTATACTGTATGCATCTACTCCTGAGTATTCATCCAGTTGTACATTTTCTTTAGAGAGAAAAAGATATACTCCAAAAAATTAAATTTCTCGTAGTTTCCATCATGAGAATGCAAAACTCGAGTAGACTCAAGATTCTTTCTCGTTTAGCTAATTTTTCGCATATGTTTCTAGAAGATTCTTTACAATGTCAATAATGACAATTCATTTTTTCCTTATCATCTCAAATACAGTGAAAAAAACGACGATTGAAAGTATAGCTCAGTGAACAGAGCAGAGAGAAACAGATTCTTACGGCGTGGGTTCGATTCCTGCTCGAGTCGCTATATTTTTTGGCATCTTTTTTGTTTTTTTCTCTTGAAAACTTTCTAAAAAATGTTTTGCTACCCGACTGGCAGTCCCCGAGTCAGTTTTAGTGGATACATATACAACCGAGTATCCTCTGTCCAAAAGTGTAGTTTTGACCCTAGTTCTATTTAAAAATTTCACTTGTCGGTGATATGTTTGACCGCTGTATCGAATTGGAATACAATAGCAACTTCATTCTTCATCCGATCAAATCGAATATTCTCTATATGGTAAAAATTTTCGCTTGATGCGACGTTTCCTTCCCGAAAATCGCAAAGACGCGAAACCTCGAAATTTTAAATTGTTTTCGAGTTTTCTGGAGATGTTTGCATGTGGGGAAAATTGGGAAAACACATATTCTTGATCAAAATTTCATGTTTTTTCGAATGAGGTGGGTTTCGTAATGTGCAATAAACCATCACTGTACATGATGTACTTCACCCATGAAACTGTTTTATATGTTACTAGCTTGGTCCTGGTAGTGCACTAAGGCGTATGCATGGTGGCATAACACGAGAAAAAGAATTATTATGCATAGCAGGTAAAACGTTAGTAAAAGTCTTTTCGAAAGAGGAGAAAGGGCAAATCCACATTTTTAAGGTCTCAAAAGCTGCTATTAATTAATAGCAGCTTAAATAAATTAATAGCATTCTTTTAAAGTTTAGAATTGATTTTTTCTATCCATAAAACCTGGCAGAAACCGGAAGCCTTTCTAAGTCTATGTTTAACAGAATAAATCCTATGAGATTCGCTTTCAGAACAAGAGTTTCTGTCTGGATCGCGTGCATTCTTTTATTGCACATAGTTTTACAGCAAATAGCTTACAGAAGTGATAAATGAAAACTAACTCCTTCAGAATCTTTGCGTATGAACTTAAGCACAAGCACTAAGAGTGTGCTCCAGGTCCCCAGTTTTTCAGAACAGCTAACCATGAGTTTTTCACCGGCGCATTTTCAAGGTAAATTATCATTGGTTGTGATTCGGTTTTAACTTCTGACAGTGTGAAATAGGTGAATGGAAGTAGGAGTACTTCAGCCTCGTTTTCATATTCAGAAATACATGGAAGATCCGGTGAGAGTTTGCCTAAATTAATTGCAGTATCACATTTCTCAGGAAACCTGAATATCATCAATACACTTTGTCTTTTGTCTGCTGAGCTAGTGGTACCAGCAAATTGCTCAGCCACAGAGCGTTCCAAAGAAGTTGAGGAAAATGTCCGTGTCCAAATTGTTCCGTGTTTTTTAGAAGCCCATCGATAAACACGCAAATCATTTTTTGTCATTTTAACCCCACGATACGAAGTGCCTTGGAAATAACGGGGTTTCAGTTTGTCTAATGACCTGTAAAGTGCATTTTGGAGATGTCGAGCATCACCTTTGTTTAATGCTCGGTAAAACGGGGTCTCAAGTGTATAGAGCCGCAACAGAGGTTCTGGTTTGTGCTCTTCGGCAGCTAATGCAAGGAGATTCATGCATTTTTCGAACTGCCGATGCGGTTTGAGCAGCAAATGCTCTCTCACTGTGCCGGTGAGATGGTTGATTATATCATCTTCTCCTGCAACAATATAGCCGAATTTTTCGTCGAATTTTCGGCCGACCTTCGATTGGTACAAAGTCTTGAATGCACTATTCCATTCCTTAGTACCTGCAATCTTTTTCGCATCTGCAGAAGAATAGACCCAGTTGTCACAGACAATGTCTTTATCAGAATCTGCGTCCTCGTTCCTGGAAACTTCAAACATATTTATTGCTTCGTCACTTTCATCACAAAATCGATTCACGTTGTTCGGACGATGAAAAAGTTGTCTAATTTTGTCCGAAGTGGCTTCTTCATAGGCAGTTAGTCCATGTAAGTTAAGAAGATCTCGACGACATCCTCTTTCGTGTAGTAGAAGGTGAACAATGTCAGCTTGACCGTAAAATGTTGCTGCGTGAAGAGCCGTACTTCCGTTGGGTTCAAGACGGTTTAGATTTTCGTAGGAAATACTTGTAACAAGTTCTTTGACAAGCTCAATGTTACCATTACGACATGCCCAGTAGAATGCACTAGCTTCCCCTTGTTGTGGATTTCGAAGAATCTTTTGCTCTTCTCTTTCTTTGGTTTTTCCTTGCTTCATAAGTTGTTAAACAAGTATCCTTCTGGGAAAAATCAAGGAATGTTTAGTAAAAGCACTCTGTCTGCTCACCTTTCACTCACTGTTTGTTAATATTCTACTGAGGCAAATAAAATTATTCATCACAGTAGAGGGACCGACACGTTTCTATCTCCTCAATTAATATTATGTATTTTTTCCCTTTCTCTAATTTCTCATGGCTTGTGACACATAGTATCATTTCCTCTGCTGCTTTTACCTTTTGGCAATAAAACATAATCGTACACATAACCGCTTCGACTCACTGACTTTAGAGACATACAAGATGATATAATCAACCACCTCACCGGCACAGTGAGAGAGCATTTGCTGCTCATTAGAGAACCGCATCGGCAGTTCGAAAAATGCATGAATCTCCTTGCATTAGCTGCCGAAGAGCACAAACCAGAACCTCTGTTGCGGCTCTATACACTTGAGACCCCGTTTTACCGAGCATTAAACAAAGGTGATGCTCGACATCTCCAATTCAAAAGAAGTGCAGATCTTAGGGCTAAGCACGCTTGCATTTTAAAACCTGTGAAATTAGCTGTAAAACAATACAATTTCTGAGTTGTTAAAATGCAAGCGTGCTTAGCCCTAAGATAAGTAATTTTATTGAATATGAAGCTTGTTACGGTCAAGTTGATGATAATGTGTTTACACGAACAACTTCATGGTATTTGTCACAATCGTTTCTGGAAATAATAAGTTCAACTCCATTTACAGTAAAAATGTACGATTTAATCAAAATAAATTTGGAAAAGAAGGTCGGCAATAAAATGCCTATACTCCCGTACTGCCAGCTGGTATCACCAAGCCTAGGTATCACATTGTACCTATTGCTTGTACGAAGTATACCTGAAGAGATGTGCCTGAAGACGGTGTTGTAAAACACGGATTGTTCCATTATATGAGTCTGAGAAAATTATTCAAAGCATCAACTGAGAACCAATTTCAAATATTTCTGCTCAGACACCGCTAGCTACTAGAATATGAGCTTATTCTTTTTGTGTTCGACTAAGGCGTGAACTCGA